GAAACATCATCATTATTCTCAACGATTCTAATCAATCAATCAAACAAACAAACAAACAAGTGACTATAAATGTGCATTGAAAACTACTAAATATTTTGAACATTTTCTACGAGAGAAATGGATGGATGGATGGATGTATGGATAAACAAAAAAAAGCATGCCTCATGCACATTTCATCATCTGTAAATGTAATGTGATAATTATTTCATGATTTTCGAGAAATATCACAATATTATTATCAATGTTGTTCAAACATGCTGAAGGTGAAAAAAAAGAAAGAAGAAGAAAAAAATTCTGGAAATTTGAAACGACACCAACCGAAGAAACAACAACAAGAAAAATTTCATTTTATTTGATGATGTTTTCATCATCATTATTCTTGTTGTTTTTTATCTTTCATTTCGGTGTGATTCAAGTTTTTTGTTTGTTGTTGTTGTTGTTTCCTATTTTCAAGAAATCTAATTTTCTGTCTTGGTTGTTGTTGTTAATACAATTTATCGCCTGACTTTTTTTTTCTTTTTTTTCTAGTCTCTTGTCGCCGCTACACAGTTTCATTTCTTATTGATGACAAGAATTTCTTGTTTACAAAGAAAGAAGAAGAAAGAAAAAGAAATCTTGTTTCATCAAACCAAACAAACGTCTTGAATTCAAGCCTTATCTTGGTGAAAAAACACACACAGAACCTGATGATGATGATGACATAGAGATGAGAATTCAAAGCAAAGAAAAATTCTACCGAATTCTGACGACCGTCAACAACAACAAAACAAAACGAAAAATCAAAAAAAGAAATTTCCTGATGAATTCTGAATGAACCAGGGAAAAATACAGAACCAAAATGGAATTAAATAATCAGATAACGACATTCATCATGATTCACAAAAAACAAACAAAACAAACAAACAAAAACGAATGACAAACATCAAACAAAATCCAAAAAAAGTTGTGAAATTCATTTGGAATTGAAATCAGAAAAAAAGTTTTTTTCTACTATATCGATTCATTTGAATTTCGTTTCATTTTGTTTTTGTTTTTGTTGATGATGATGGTTTATTTCTGTGAAATTATTCTGAATTCTCTCATTGTATGTGTGTGTGTGTCAAACACGCTTCAACTCTTTTTTGTTTTTGGTTTAAAATTCAGTTTTGTTTCGCAGAGAGAACAACAACAAAAATGGCCAAATTTACATCTAATTTAGCATTCAAATCTCGAACAATTTTGGTTAAAATAGAACCCAAAAAACAAAAAATGAAAAACCCAAAAATTAGAATCGAAGAATAATTAAAACCTAGAGCTAAACAAAACCAGAAATACTGGACCAGAATTGAAAAAAAACCCAACTAACGACTTTTGTTTCGTTTTGCATTCACATTCACATTCACATTTTGTTTTTTTCATGAAACAACCAAAATTCTTGTTGATTTTTTTTAAAAAACAATGAAAAAAAAAATTGGAAATCTTCCCAAACAAACCAAACAATGAAAAAAAATAACGACAACAAGGGAATTGAAAAAAAACCTGAGTTTTTTTCTCTTCTTGTTTCTTCTTTTGACAATCAATGGGATTAAACTAATTAACAAAGTAACCATTTTTTTGTTTTTCATTTCAAATTTATTGTTTAACGTTTTTAGTTTTGTTTTGAAAAAAAGACATAAATTAATGTAAAATAAATTACTAATTAGTAAGATATGATGATGATGGTGTCTGATTTGGTGGTATTTTTCATTGTTGTTTTGTTTTTGAATGCAAAAATATGACAAAAACCACAACAAAAATGGAATCATTATGCAAATTTTTATCTTCTAGACATGTCAACTTACTACATTTAACGACGAATGGGAAAATCAAAATCCTTGGTTACAATTTTTGTAGATTTTTTTCTAGATCCGAAAACAGATCTTTGACAAACGATGACAAATCAATGCAAATTCCAAATGGAAGACGTGCTTTCAATAACTTTTTTGTGATCAATTGAATTGCAAACATTTACAAAACCCAAAATAGATATTAGTTCATAGAAAAATTATGGTCGAATGACAAGCCGCCAACTAAATTACTGTTAGCTATGTAAAACAAAAATGGGAAAACAAAATTGATTATGATGATGACAATTTGCCAGTTGCATGAAAAAAATGAACATTTATTTTCCATATTTTGGTTCGTTCATTTTGTTTTTTCGTTTTCGGGTTTCCTGCTCATCCGTTCAGTTGTTGTTTTCAGTTGCATAAAGACATCATCATAATTGAATAAATTGACCAACTTGGATTAGATTCAGGAAATTAGCTGCCATATCAATAAGGGCAACCACAATATTGGTTGGTTGGTTGGTTGATTGCCTTATGTGCGTGTGTTTCTGTGTTTGTTACAAATGATGATGATCATTTCTGGTCTCATTTGTTGTTTGTTTCAATTCTCTGTGTTTCTGTTTTTGAACCAGAACAAAACTCTTTCAGAATTTTTTTTTGCACAGAAATATATTCTGGCCAAATTTTTACATTTTTTTCGTTATTATCATCATTGAAAAATTATTCAAATTTCTTGTAGATCTGAATATAATCAGACAAAGATGATTATTAACTGACCAATATGGTCAATATTTATTTTATGAAAGATGTTTTTCAATATGAAGAATTTTTGAATGATTAAATTAATGATCGAAACGAACCAAACCAACCAATCGAGTTTCCTGTGTCTATCTATGTATTGGACTTTCATATAAACACATAATTGATACCAGGAAAAAAATGGGTCAATATGGAACCATATGTCTATTATACAGCAGTGATAATAATTCATCAGAATTCGGTTTTTCCACAAACGTGATTTCGAAACACACACACAAATACCCGCTTTCATCATCACCTGCTTGTTTCGAATGGAAAATTCTAATCATCGATTTGTATGTGCTGTGTGTAGGTTTTTCGCAACCGAATATATGCATGACAATGAAAAACAAAGAGAAAAAAACAAAAGGAAAAAAACATGAAATTTATTCAATGGAAAAAAACAACAACCGAACAACAAAAAACAAAATGCAAATAATAATAACTAAATAACAGTGAGATTATTTCGGTACCTCATTCATTCTTTCTCATATCTCACATTCATTAATAGGTAATTCTTGTAATGTAATTCCTCTGAAAAAAAAACGAAAACGAAAAACGAGAATATTCTTCTCTATGTTAATCTTATGATGACCTTGATTAGTGTAACAATACATACAATATATAACAATACTATGCTTGGTTGGCATGGATTCCATATTTGTTTGGAAACAAACAAACAAACAACAAAAACAAAATATAAATCAGTATGAAAAAAGATAATTCTTTCTTTCTGTTGTTGGGAAAAATTTGAGTTTCTTAGTTTTAAACGAATGGATATTTTTTGTTTTTGAAAACATTAGATTCCATGAAGAATGAAAATTGAATGTAACAAACATGGATAAACAAGAATCTGGTATCTAGTATATATGGCGTTAATGGCATGTTTTTGTCCAAAGAAAAAACAACAACAAGCAAAAAAACATCCAACCGAGCGAAAACATAGTAAAACAACAAAAGAACAAAAGAAAATTAGCAACTAACAACTAAGAAAATAAATGATGTTCGTTTTAGTAGGTTTGTTCGGTGTTTTATTTCTGATGATGAAAAAATTATCATTTTTCTTACAAGACTTTATTGTTGTTTTTCCTATATGTATGAAAAAAGCATCTAAACATAATGTTACTACAGTGTTGTTAACCCATAAGTTTTTCGAAAACCAAAATCGACTAACCGAAGAAAAAAAGAAGATGAATTTAATGGAGAAATGAATTTCGATGAACTAAAAATGAATTGAATGAATGAATGATGATGAAAACTAACTAACTAACTAAACAAACTAAATGAAGATAGACTGTAAATTGGAATTTTCACAAATCGATAAATGTGAATTCCTCCATTCAATTCATAAGTTTTCAATGATGGATCATCATTATGGTTGAAATAGAAACAAAAAAATATTGATTTAAAATTCTTTAGTTTTTCTGCTAATATTCTCTATGTGTATGTTGGACAACAGATATGAACAAAACAATCGATTTTAATGCGAGAAAATTTTTTCCTTTAAACATCATTTATATATTGAATGAAATTTTGCAGTCAAAATAATGAAAGGAAAGGTTTTTCTTTTGTTAAATTGATTGTGGAATATAGTGATGGTGTTAATCAATGTGAAATGATTTAGGAAGAAAAAACAAACGTTTTCTACATTTGTGAATTTAACTACGAATTGAAAAAAAGAAATTATTCCGAAACTTACCACGATGATATCGATGATTAGCATTTGATGATGTTGGTGATGTACCATTTGAACCGGAAACATTTGGTGGTGGTTTCATTGTTTTCCATCTAACGATTAAAACAATGAAAAATGCAATCAAAACAATACCGGTTACAACAGCAATCAATACGACTAGTACTGGATTAAAATTGAGCTGCCAAACATTTCCTGTTTTTGAAATTGAAATTTTTCAATATGAAAAAAAAGAAACTAAAAAAGATTAACAAACAAACAAACCTTTTGCAAGACGATTCATTGATTCAGGCATAGCCAATGTAAATGCTGTTAATGCAATACCTTTACTACGACCTTTTGCATTTGCTGCATATATCACAAATAAATAAGTATGTGCTGATTGTAAATTATTTAAATAAAATTGTGGTGTTGAAGCAGTAACATTGGCACGTAATGCTGAATTTCTTTCAGTTGTATCATAAATTTCTAATAGAAAATGTTGTATTAAACCACCATCATAACCTTCATCACAATCAACACGCATTGAATCTTCAGTAACATTGAATACTGAACAATTTCGAACAGGATCCGGTGAACCAGCAGCAACAATTGAATATGCACATGGTTTTGATTGAATACCAACCGAATTACGACCCCAACAATAAATTGTACCATAATCGAATTCAGTATGTGGTGTATAACGACCTAAACTTGATTGTGGTCCAGTTGATTCATATTTAAGTGTTGCTGTTTCACGTCTTGGTTCCGAACCAGTACCATTATATGACCAAAAAAATTCTACTTCACTGGGATCTGATTCTAATTCACAAACAATATTAACAGTTTCATGTCGAGCAGCACCATAGATAATTTTTTGACCTAAAAAAACGAAAAGAGAGACAAAATTCTATTAGATTTTCAAGAAAACATTGAATCGATTATAATTCGATTTTAGATAATGGCAAATGGAAATTATTCATCGATAATGCGAACTAGAAATAAAAAAAATCGAAATCAACTCAAAAAAAAAACGAGTAAATCGATCAACTTTGAATCTCGCGCTCTCTTTATCAATTTCTATAGAAAGATATAATTAATATCACTTGAATACTTATTGAAATCATTCAATCAATCGATCGATTGATCGATTTTTCTTTTTTTATATCTCTATATTTTTTTGGCTGAACTTCCCTGAATCATACCCCAATCTAAATGAAAAAATGGAAAAAAAATATTGTGTATGCTGTGTATATGAAAAAGAAGCAAAACTACAAAAAAAATCGATTTAGAATTAAATTGAAAAAAACAAAATTCAGTTAGAATAAATATCTATCTTTTTTTTGAAAAGATCATCTCTTTGTACAAATAATATGGTTGTTGTTGTTGTTGTTGTTGTATGTTGATGAAGAAGATTATTTTGCCATATTTCTTTCAATTTTCAAACAATCAATAACCAAATGATCTTTTTTTTTACTATATTCTGGACAATAATCAAGAAAGAAAATCCTGTACGTTCATTCATTCTAATCGATCAATAAGAACATCCATAAAGAGCTCAGAACAGAAAAAAAAACATAATGATCGATAGTGAAGAAGATGAAGAAGATTTCCTTATTAATATCATTGCATATGTGTGTGTGTCTAAAATTGAAATTGAATATCCGAAAGTCTTTCGGTTTGTCTCTCTTTCTCATTTTGTATTATGGATATCATCATTATTATCAAAAAATAAGAAAAATGGACAAAATAAGAAAAAGAATCATTAATAATCGTGAAAGTGAGAGAGAAACGAAATTCTTACATGTCCATAAAATAAATGAATGAATGGTGGAAATTCTGTTACTTTTTCCATTATTGGACAACAACAACGAAATAACATGGTGTGTGGCATTCAACAGTGTTACCTTGTATGCTTTTTTCAAGTAATTTTTGTTTCAAAATTTTAGGCTATTCATTCATCATTCATTTTTGTTTTTGTTTTTCTTTATTTATTTACGTCATGATGCTAGAATCATCTCCTTTTTCTCTCGTTGATGCATAATACAACAACAACAATGGATTAAGTTTTTGATCGAAAGATGTAGGTCAGAATTTGAAAAAAAAATTCAAACCCAAAACATGAATTAAACACAAAAAAAGATTACATCGGGAGTGAAAAAAGAGTGAAAAAAAGAATCCCATCATGTTTGTTCCATCATTTTTTTTTAAATACTTATTTACTGAACTTTTAATCATAGCTCATAAATTATTGGATGATGAAGAATAAATAAGAATTTTTCAAAAAAAAAAACAAACGACAACCAACGAAAAAAAAGTTTTCAAATCGTTTTTTAAGATTTTTCTATTGCTGCTGCTTGTTTATCGGATTTTTTTTACTAATTTTTTTTTTAAAAAAAGTTTTTTTTCAAGCTTTTCTTTATTGATTGGTTTTTGGTTCAAATTAGATACGGAAAAATGATTGACTTTTTCAAATTTATTTTTCTTCGATCATCAAAAAAAGTAAATATGGAGGGTATATTGACTTACCAGCTTTACAGATTGGTGAAAATTGTATACGAAGATGTACAGCATTACTTTCACCATCACCTTCAGAATTTGTTGCCGAACAAGTATATTTACCACGTTGTTGACGACGTACTTTTTGTAATACTAATGATTGATTACTAACAATAATACCGGCACTTGTATTTGTTTGTAGTTCACGACCTTCAAAATGCCATCGTACTTCATATGACCATGGTGATGCACGTATAACACATTCAAAATAAACATCATTTCCTTCCTGTATATGTGAATGACGAAGATTACTTCCTAATTTTAATGTCACTTGTGGTGCATCTATTTTGGGATAATGATGATGATGAAAAATTAGAAAAGAAAAAAATATGAACAAAAAAAAAGAGAAATTAATAGACTATTTACACACAGTCAGTCAGTTAGCAAATATAAATAACACAATACAATAAGTCGAGCATATTATATTCTGAAAAAGAAAATTCTTTCTTTTTTTCAGAATTCCCTTTGCAAAAACGAAAAAAAATCAAATCAATCGACCATGAAGGCGTCAAGATGTCTGATGAACGAAGCAAGTGTTAAGGCCAGTTAAATCAAGTAGAAACACATATGAAAGAAAAGGAAAAAATCTTTTTATTTTCCAGTTATAACGAAACAAAGATATAGAGAAAAAAAACAATTCTTTTTGGGTTTCTGGCTAAGATTTATAGCTCCATACAGGTTATTCTTTTCTTTTTTGATTCGTTTTCCCCCATTATTCTCAGAAAGAATGCTATTTATATGATATTTGATGGGAAAAAAAGAAAGGGTTCATATTTCATTCAATGCTATTCAATGACTATGAAACACATACACATCAATAAATGATAAAACGACTTTATATCGTAAAAATCGTTAAATCGAAACAATCCGTTAAAAAAAAAAGAATTGAATGTTCATCGATCCATTCACCCTATATGGTTCATTATGTTTTTCGTTATAATAATAATAACAAAGCTTTGATGAACAGGAAAGAAGAAAAAAAAATTCAGTAATTAGTCGTTGAAAAATATAGAAAGATTCATGGAACATTTAATCAGAAAATTCTATGGGAATTTTGTTCTTTCTTGCAGATAAAGCGAAACAAACAAGAAAAAAAATGAATATTTTCTTTCAGTCAAGAATCTATTCAAGAAAGCGAAAAAAATCTGGTTCTTGCATATAAAAAAACGATTCCAGAATGGAAAAAAATATAGCATTCAGAAATCAAACATCAAAACTTGGGAAAAAATGGAAAAACTTTTTTTCCGTTTCCAATGAAAATAGTATTCATGCCATATGTTTTATTTTTTTGTTGCATGAAACGAAACAATCATCATCATCATCAAACATTATCGCTGAAATGGCTAATGTTTATTCAATGAGCTATGAAAATATGTAGCCACCACCATTACCATTACCATTATCATCATCATATCAGCTGTCATTTGCTTTTGTTTGTTATTTTCAAATGTATTCAATTTTCATAATAATAATAATGTGAGTTTTGTGAAAATTTGAAAGGGGTAAATGGAGAAATTCTTTCACCTGACTGACATTCTTTACTCCGTTAAATTGATAAAAAAAAACCTTTCAATGGAGAAAAAAAAGAAAGAGAAAAGTGAATGAAGAATCTGTCAATGACGAATAAATTTGCTATTAAGAGACACAGACGGAAAAACAAATAAAAAAACGAAAAATTGAAAGAATTTTTTCACTTTTTCGTTGTGAGTTTTCAACATTGAAATTTGTTTGTTTGTTTTTTGTTCAAGTAAATCATTTTTACATTTGATTTTCAAATTTTGTTTTTGTTGTCGTAATGATGATGACAGAATTTTTGTAAAATTGAAAAATGGAAACATATTGACAAAATTGAAAAGAAACTTTTTTTTTTGTCAAAATTCCTTACTGAAATTCATAATGATTTTGTTGTTGTTTGGCCAAACAAAGATTATAATTAGAATTTAATTGAATTTTTTTAGTTAAATAGAATCCAAAAATGTAATTAGTGAAAAGAAAAATGATTCAAAGTTGGACGGGTATTCATCAATTTTTTAATGCTCAGAATTTCCAGAAAGTTTCTCAAATATATAGAAAGAATTAAGAACGTTTTTTGGAAATATTTCTTTTGTCCCACTCCTTCCCATTTATTCTATAAGAAAAATAATCATCATTATCATTATTCCGGCCAAAAAGATATTAATTATCGTTAATTTCATAATGAGCTCATCATCATTATCATTATCATTATCATTATCGCAATTAAGAATCTTTGGCGAAGAATTCAATTTACCACCAGAATTGGTGTGGTAAACAAAAGAAAAACTGAACCATCATCATCATCATTATACCAGAAGAAAAAAGAAGAAATGTTTTGAAAATTAAGAAAAGTAAAAAATGTCATTAAATTACACTGAATTTGTGGAAAATTGAAAACAAAAAAATTCGGTAATCAACTTTTTTTGGCCGACCAAACAACAACATTAACACATTGTGCGTGATCATCATTCCAAAACAACATCTTAATTGCCATTAAAAATGGCACCGAAAAAAAAAATTAATTTAATTTTTTAAAATTAAAAAAAATTTTAAAATTTTTTGAAAAAGAAAGAAAAAATCAAATTGAACACTAGATGGCAGCGTATGTTGTTCATGAAAAATTTGATACCCATCATTCATTCCTGTGTTTTTTTTTCCTGATTATTCACCATAAAAAAGGTTTTTGATTACATAGATAATTTTTGTTTTTGTTTTTTCCCGTTTTTCGGGTATAGGTGATTCAGGAAATACCGAAACAAATAGTTAATCAAGTGATAGCATTATATACGGGGAGAATCATAACGTTCTAGGGAATCGTTTTTTGTTCGGTACCCTTTTTCTATCTACCAATGCTATTATTATGCAAGCGAGAAGACAAAAAAAAATCTGTTAAATCTTTGTTCGGCTATAGTAGTCGAAACAAGAGAATCGAAACAACAACAACAAAAATGTTCATTTAAATCGTGTAAGTAACAAGAATTGAACATTATCATCATCATCATCATAAAAACATAATGAGAAAAAAAAGCGAAAACATTGAAATCGAGAATAAAGTTTTTTTTTTGGGTGAAAAGAATAACTAGGAAGAAAAAAATTCTATTAACCAATTCCTGTGTGTGTGTATTCCTGATTCCTGAAAATATAGAATAAGAAAACTCGGCGTCAATTTGTGTTTAGTCGAGAATAGGTTCTGAGATTGTTTTTTCTTTGGAAAATTCTTTCCATTCTTTTTTTACCGATGTTGTTTTTTAGTTAATGTCATTACCATGTACAAAAAACATCAAACTCATCCAACATTTGGCAAATGAAAAAAAAACATAAGAAACATTTGGCTGTTTTTTTAAATGAAAAATTCTGCGAAAAAAAATTACAGATTTTCTTGTTTTCGGTGCCTATCAACTTTCATTATAAATCATTATTTTTTGTTTTGTTTAAATTGATAAAATTTTTTCTGTGAAAAGTAAAAAAAGCAATGTTTCACCCCTGAAGGCTTAAATGTCATTAGCCATTTTATTGATGATGACATTAAGTCGTAACATTATTTTTTGTTTGTTTTTTTTTAAATTCTAAATGACATTTGATTTTTGAAAATCTGACATATGGTATAAGGGATTTTTTTGTTTTTTGGTTTTTTTCGGTTAATCAACTTACAATTAATTTCCAATTGAATTAAATCTTCAATAGCTGATGATTGTATATGTGGATTTTCAGCACGACATGTAATTTCTTTACCAATATCATCAATAGTAACGGTTAATGATAAACGGCTAGTTGTTTTATTACCATCAGCTGATATTTGTTCTTGAGCATTTCGTAATCGAGTTGTACCACCAATCCACCATGTAATAGTTGCTGGTGGCCTTGATCCACTTGATTCACATGTAATTATTGAAATTTTTTCCGCTGATAATGATTGTTTTCTTTCGCCAATAATTTTTACAGTTAATGGACGAACTATTGAAACAAATAAGAAAATGAAGGAAAAAAAAGGTTAAAAATGATTTGTAACCAAGAAAAAAGAAGAAATTAAGGAAAAAAAATATTTGGTTAAAACAATGAAAAATTAGCAATAAAGAATTTGAAAATGAAAGGAAAAAATTCTCATTAAAAGTGTAGACAAATTTAATGATCATCATGAGAATTTTTTTTTTCACAAAGTTTTTTCACAATCTCATTTACATAATCGATAAATTTTTTTTTTGTGTGTTACCCATTATAATTCGAATCGAATAAATCACACCAAACAACAACAACAACAACAACAAAATAATAAAATAAGTGAAAATAAGGAAAGAAGAAGAAGAAAAAAAAACATTAATAACAATGAAAATTCTTTGATTCGGCAAATTATTCTACATCACGAATTGGCCATTTCTTTCTTTCGAAACAATTTGTTTTTTATGGAAAAATTATTCCATGAAAATAACAGCAACGAAAATCTTATCAAATGAAAAGAATTAATGACTAACGATCAATCAATTTTTTTTCCAATCATTTTGGCAAAGACACACACACACACAATTTGACAATGATGTAATGATCAAAACAACAGTAACAACAAATTACTGATCAAAGTAGTAAACCGAAAATTAAAAACAGTTTTTGGGGTAAATTCGATTAATTCAAACAGTAATCGATAATAATAATAATGTCCGACAGAAAAAAAAGGCGACAAAATCATTATCATCATCGTGGCTATCAATCGGTACAGTACATCGTTGGATGGAGGGAAAAAAACCAAAAAAAAGTCTTTTTGACTAGAGAAAATTTCCATAAATTTTATTTTTATTCAAAATACAGGGAAATTTTCAAGCAACAACAACAATCAAAGAATCAGAAAAAAAACTGATCGTAATCGTTTTTGAACAAAGATTGAAGAAAAAAAGGGAAAACGAAGAAGAAGGAGAAGAAGGAGCATTCAATGATGATGATCATCATCGTTATTTACCATCATTCAATGTTGATCATCATCATCATCATCGGTAGCAATTTATTCCGATTTTTGTATTATTATTACAATTTTCTTTTTGCCGTAGAGAAGGAAAAAAAACGTTTCGATTACGATAATGATGATGATGGTGATGGTTTATTTTTGGGTTGTTTGTTGTTGTAAAACATCAAATATTTTTTTGTTGAATCACTACAGTAGCTTGAACAACAAAGAAGGAAAATCGACCAATATTTTTATTTATTTATTTTCATTTTAGATACTTTAACTATTTTAGCATCAATGGCTTCAAAAAATCATAAATGTCATTTTCTTTCAATGGTATTTTCAAATATCTTCAAATAACAAACAAAAAAGAAGAAGCTCAATAGCTTTTCTCTTCAGGGACCAACTTCTTCGTTTTTCTTTTTCTCGATACAGTTTTTGAATAAGTATTTCTGATTCTTTTTTTTTCTGGTTTCAGTGAATAAAAAAAAACTTCAACCAAAACGACATAAATCGATTTATACTGAACAAATGAATGAAAAAAAATGTATTCACAAAACACACATAACATTTATGGAAAACATGAACATTTTCAGAAAACAAAATGATCGTTTTTTTTTTTGGTTGTTGGTAATTGTTATTCATTCATATTCAATCATTGAAATTTTTCATTTGTCATAAGGATTCTATTCAGGAAAAGAACGAACGAAGGAAAAATCATCAACTTGAAAATAATGATAATAGAAGAGATTCAACCGATGAAAAAAATCCAAACTAAATGAAAAAAGCACCGAATAAATGAAAAAAAGTTGGCCAAATGAAAATAATCGAACCGAATTTTAACAAGTGTATCTCTGGAGGGGGAATGAAAATTTCATTTCTTCCAACGACCAATATATTTGACAACAAAACAATTCAATTGTAAAATTTTTCAGTTGAAATTTCATTCATTTATGATCGAATGATACTTGAAAATAGTTTCCAAAGAATTCAATTGATTCATTCATTGCACAAAAGAATCGAATTGAAAAAAATAAAAAACAGAAAGCAAGAGAAACCAGAGCAAATTCTTTGGTTTTTTTCCCCTGTTTCTTTGGTAAATTATTTGCTATCACCATTATTATCAATGGAATTGAAAACATGAAAAAAATATGTGTAACAATCGAAAAAGATAAATTGAAATCTCAATTTTCATCAATTTTATTGTTTGTCGTTCATATTGATGAAAAAGAAAAAATCAAACATTCAATTTGAAAATTTTTCTTCGAATATGGATATTGTGAAAAGAATTGTGTGTCAACATTAATTTCCGAACAAACAAAAAAAAAGAAGATATTTGAAAATTCTATTCAATCTAATTTGAATCTATCATTCGTTATTTCGTGATTCTCATATTTCAAAAACATGACCAATCAATATTGATTATAATTTCAAAATCTTTAGACGTCGTCGTAAACGTGTCACCATCATCATCCGAAAAGAAGCTAAATTGATTCCCATGTGATGTGAATGAATTCAAAAATGTTTTTTCTCAACAACCATAAACGAACATCAACATAATGGATTTATATGAGGGGAGAAAACCGAGTTTTTTTTCCTGATGAAGAATATTCATTCAAGCAGTTCGAAGATGATGATGATGATGATGAGCGAAAAAAAAGTGCGAGAAAAAAAAATTGATTGAAAAAAATGATCAAACGAAAATTCCTCTATAAATTTGTGAAAGTGTAATCAAGATAAGAAAATCTATTTCGTTCATCTTCTTTCAAATATTCATACCCGTTGTTGTTGTTGTTGTCAACATCGTTCAAAGTCATATTTTAACTTGAATTTTCTTCTTCATCATCATTGACATTAATTCATTTTTTTCTCATTATTATCATCATTTCACATTCAATCATTCAAATTCTTATGAAATTATTATTCGAATAATAAGAATATTCGATGATTTCCACACATGCGAAACTTAACTTAACTTGATTGATATCAAATTTATATTTGCCATTTTCAAGTGTGTATAGAGCTATGAAAAAAAAGAAACTATTGATGATCATCATTAAGATGATGATGATTACATTTTCAGATTCTTCTGATTGAGAATTCTGTATTTCTCGTCTGATATAAATTCCTATTTCATTTTTTTCCTTTTCTTTTTTTTTGTTTGTTTCGTTATTATTATTATTATCAGAATTTGTCGACACTGAATATATGAATTTCACTAATCATCATCATGTTCATCATCATAATGATGATGATGATGATTACTGTTTCAAGAATGAATGAATGAATGAAAGAAAAGCGAAAAAAAGAAAAAGAAAATCAAATAGCCAACAACAACGAACATTTGATAATAATTATCATTATTATTTTCAATCACTATAATCATCATCAGTATTGCAACATTGTTGTTCGTTGTTTGTTTGGTTGGTTGGTTGTAAGTTTTTTTTTATTTTCCTACTCATTTTTTTTATATCGAAAACGATTGACTTGAATCAAAATTATTATCGTTGTTATTATTATTTTGGAAAAAATGATGAAACATGAAACAAAGATTCTTTTTTTTTCGTTATCAATTTCGTTTCGTTAACGATGGTGATGATGATGATACTAAACAAACATGAATTGCATCACTATGATGATCAAACGCCCATCATCATCAACTATGGTCCATCATTTTTTTTATTTTCCAAAAGGATGTTTAGATTGTTTCAATTTGGTTAATAGCGAAATTCTATACTTTCTTTTTCTCTTCTCTCTTGTCGTCCAAAAAACATGATTTACACAAAATTCATTTTGGGTGATATCATTATTTGATGAAAATGTTTCAATCTTGTAATAACATCTTTTTGTTTTGTTTGGGTGAAAAATGAACATTTTTTTGAATAAATTATGATGATGGAGAAAACAATATTCATCATACTCATATGTCATATTTAGTTGAGTTGATGAATATCCTGGTTATTCATCATCATAATCATTGAATGTTCTTGAAAAAAAAAATGAAATTTGATTTCGAATTTTTTCAAAATTTGTTTTTCAAAAATGATTAAAGGTTAAATTGTTTAGGTGAATTTCATAATCAAAAAACATTGTAAATGTAATTGAAAACTTAAATTATGTAGCCCAGTATGTTCATCATCATAATGTTTTTACGTTTCATCAACGTTCAAATTCCTTCATATTAAATGTCAGATTTTGTTGGTGTAGGCGTAGGCGGTAAACAATTTTTCCTTTTTATCATCAAAGTCATCATCAACAGGATAATAAAAGTCAAATCATATCATGTCATAAACATGACATAATATTTACGATTTCATTCAAGACATTTTGAATGATGTTGATTATGATATAAAGTCAGTCACATTTCATTTTAGACATTATTCAGAATGAAATTTCGTTTTAAATCAAAAAATGAAAATAACTAAAAAACTTACAATTTAGATCAACAGTTACAGTTGCAGTTGATGGTAATGATATATTATTATTTGATGCTTGACAAGTAAATACAGCCATTAAATCTTGTCTTCGTAATGATTGTATAATCAATTGATTACGTATTAATTGATTATTATTTGTTGTTGTAATTTGTTCATATGTATCATCTAATAATACTGATTCACGCCACCATGTTAATGATGGTTGTGGTTTTCCACCTTCAACTTCACAAATTAATGTTAAATGATCACCTTCAGTATATGGACCAATTAATGATGGCAATGATTCACCATTTGTATCGATTATTTGAGGCTTTTCAGGTGGCACTAAAAAAGATAAGAAAAGAAAATTGAAAATAAAATAATTAAAATAGGAAAAATTTTTTAAGAGAAAACTTTCAAAAAAATCCATCATAGGGTTAATCGATTATAATTTAATAATGACAAGGAAGAAAAAAACAAACAACAAACAAACAAACAAAACAAACTCTATATATGGATATTGTTGGATATTAATTTAATTTTCTCAAATATTTACTTTATGTGAAAGAAAAATGAGAAAAAATTCTTTCATAGTTTTTCTCCCTGAATACAAAGAACAATAGAATGAATGAAAAAAAGATGGAAATAAATTTAGCCTGTCAAATGTCAAGAATTGTTTTTCTACAAAAAAAAACTAAACTAAAACTAAAACTAAACAACAACAAGTTTCAATGAAAGAAAATGGGAAACCTTAACCAATCAATCATTCAATGTATTTCGACTATAAAACTGGTATGATGATCAAAACAAAAAAAAAAAAAGTCAACGACCAAAATATGACTGAATGAATGATCAAAGTCAATTAAAGTTTCGGGTTGGTCTAGTTTGTTCCTTTTTTTTCTGGCCATCAAAACCGAGAAAAAAATAACCAAAACCGGCAATATGTGTCCATGTGAATATGACTTTGTGATGGCCATTCATTCATTTATTCAATTAGCTTGAATTGAAACAAATTTCCAGCAACGACAGCAAGAGCAAACTTTCGGTTGGATCAAGTAGAAATAATTGAAACTGAAAACCAATATAACTACACAATTGATGACATTGTCCGGGACACAGAAAATAAAAATAATGTCATCAAACGAAAGATAATTATGATAATGATTATTATGATTATCGTTATTATCCGAAACCAAATATGGAGGACATATTTCATTCATTCATTCATTCATTCAGTGTTTTGTTGAATATAATTACACTATATTGGCTATTGTTTGAAAGCAAATCGAAGATACACTTGTCAAATACAAAAAACAGAAAGAAAGAAAAAGAATGGCATATGGTATTTTTGGAGAAAAAAAAGAACGAAATAAATGATAGCAGCAGCAGTGGTGTGGTTACACAGCAGTTAAGCATCAATTAACTTGTCATGATGGCCAAAAAATGATGATGATCATCATCATCATGGTCATGGGGCCAAAATGAATCGACACACACACACCCACATCATACATCACATTTATTATTATGAAAAGAATCTATCAAACGAAGAAAAAATGTTATTATTACAGAATCCAAGTTCAATCTATTATTATATAGACATTATTGAAAATGAAAAACAACAACAACCAAAAAAAATATCTTTAGCGAATGGAGCGAAAATAAATGGGAAAAAATTATTATTATTTAGATGGATGGATTAATTTGATCTAATATCCATTTATCCAGTACAAAGTATAGTCTGTAGTCTTAATGTTGTCCATATTGGGTTTACGGATATAAAGTGAGTAAGAGAATAACGAAAAAGAAAAATGTTTTTAAAAAAAAAAAACAATCAAACTAGAAAACAAAAATTTGTCTTGTCAAAAAGAATTCTTTTCGTATTTTTATTCGATAGAGAATGTTATGTGTAATAATAATGAAAAACAATGTAGACAAAATTTTGTTTGTCTGTGTTTGGATGTTTAGTTCATTTATTATTATTTTAGTATAGTAAAATGTGTGTGGTTAAAAACAACATATATAAGAATCTCACAAATGAGATCAACGTATGAGATGTTTTTTCTATTTTCTAATCATCCTGTTATTATTATTATTATTATGGTTAATGTTGTTGTTGTTTTTTATCGAAAACTATTATATTAAGATTGTTGTTGTTGTTGTTGTTTCTATCTTTTCTACTAATAAAAAACGTGTGTGGTTTAGTCTGATGGATTTTATTTTTGCAGTTATTTTCCTATATGAGAAAATTAAGTTGCTTAATAGTACTGGATGTTGTTGTTTGGACGAAAAAAATGAGTGGTGAAATGAAAAGAAGAAAAAAAAACTTAAATGGGATGAATCAACTGCAGCTACGAAAAAAAATATAATTCACTAAGAGAGAAACTTTCCATCATTCCTTCGTTCTTTTTAATACATTTTTTGGACATTTTTTTCAATTGTTTCTGTCGGGTTGATGGTTCGACCAGAACAACAAGAAAATACGAAACGAATCGAATTCCAGAGGATTCTATAATTGTGTGTGGTTCATTATTGAACAAGCAAAAGAAAAACGTTAATCAAAAAAAACCCCGAGAACCACTGAACAAAACAATATGCCCACAACGATAATGATGATGATTGTCCACACAATGATGATCAGTAATAGAAGGGGGAAAAATCAATGGGGGAAAAATATGGAACTTCAAAATCGATCCAAAATAATAATACCCAACCAACAAACGAACGAAAAATATTAACTATAATTCCAAATACACGCAAACGAAACTGGACATAGATATAGTGGACAATCAAAATAAAAAAAAAATATGATTTCTTGGTTGAATAGATAGGAGACATTTGAAAAACAACAACGAAAATATTGATGATGATGATGATTGTGAAAGAAGTGTACTTATTTTGGCATGAATCAAACAAACAAACAAACAAACAAACAGAAAAAACTTCACTATTTTTTTCGTTCATTTCAGTCGAAGAAAGAAGATATACTGAATTTTCATTTACCATATGGATGAAATGAATGGAAAAAAAACACATAGAATGAAAGATGGATTTGAAAGAAAACTTCGAATATTTGTGTGTGGAATCAAGTGGAAACCCAATAAGTACCACTTTTGGGATTTAATCACATGATTATGATGATGATGATGATGATGATGATCACTCTATGTGTGTATGTCAATGTCGTTTGAATGATGATGAATTTTTATTTTTTGTTCCTGGTGTTCATTATTCTAGCTCTATGGAAAAAAACTCTCTGGAATGAAATGAAATGATATTGTGAAAAAAAACGAAAATGATTGATATGATTATCATAATCATATCATCATATCCACCACCACCACTACCGACAAAACAATATTATAATCATCATTATCATATTGGAAAGAAGAAATAAATGAACAAAAACTTAAAGAAGATAAAATATTCCGTATCGAAGAAACAAAAAAAAAACTTTATTCTGGTTCGAAGACTTCCTATGGCTTTTTTTCATTATTAGTATTATTATTATCATTTTTTCATTTGAATAAATTCAAAGTTTTGTCATCAACATTAACATTCGTATAAATCAAAACTTCAATCGCCAAACCACCATGCTAATTAAATATCTATGTATCTTGAGAATCCAAGAAGAAGAAGAAGAAAAAAAAATAAGTTTTAATTTAAATGCAATAAGAGTTTCTTTTTTCATCGTCGATTGGCATTAATTAAATGAAAATTTCTATTGAAAAGTCAAGTTGGATATAGTCTGTCTGTCTGTTATGTGTCTTATCGATTTCAATTTGAATCCAAGAAGCCAGAAAAAGAAGAAAATTTGATTTCACCATATTCACACACACACACACACGCCGGTTATTTTGGACAGAATCAAAATCATTCGGTACAATGATTTTGAATTCAATTTCATTATATCATTTGGATGGATGCTTGAATGCTTGATGATGATGATGATGATGATAAAATTCTGATGAAAAGTTAAAACAGAACGATAAAACCATCGAATTTTAAGAGTGAAAAGGGGGAATCATTTTTTTCAAATTAAAATCGTTAATTTTATTTATATCATCGATCAAAAAAAAAATCTATTCAAAATGCGCATGTCAAATGACAAACCAAAACAAACTTAAATTCCAAAGATTCCAATCCAGAATTTTCGAAATCAGCAACAACAACAACAGAATGAAATTCTGAAACAAGTTAATTAATTTTTCTTTTTTTCAGTGAAAATTTCTATTAGATGATGATGATGATGATGATGATCATTGATCAACCAAGCAAAAGAATTTGATGAATGAAAATGAAAAAAAAAGATTGACAATTTCAATGAAAAAATATATCTCTCATCATTATGATGATTGCGTTGAAAAGTTTCAATATTAAAAAAAAGAAAAACTTTTCCATATTTTTTCAATTAACAATTTTTTTTGTTGTTGAAATCAAGCAATCAGATATAGAAGAAGTAGTGGTCAATCTGAAGAACTTATTTGGTCAATTTTTTTCCTGGCTCTTTTAATTTATTGGAAAACAAGAAGAAGAATAATAAGAAGCAAAGGAAGAAAAATATTATTATTGTCAACAAGGGACAATTTTTTTTTCATCAACAAAGAATAATAATGAAGAAAAAAAGACAATGTGAATGGGATGTGAATGTGTGTGTGAAAAAATACTCCATAATATTTTTTTGGGTGACAATTTGTTCACATGGATGTTTTCACCAACAGAAGATTCACAGATTCATTGTTTACTTTGTTCAATATATTATCGATGCTATTTAGTTTATGCATGATGAGTGTTATTGATGATAGTGGTGATTATTTTGGTTATTTTAAAAGCTACAAAGAAAAATTCAGTATTCTCTTCCCCTGTATTGTTTATTGAATGTGAAATTTATTTATTTTCCATATACAAATAATTCACACACTCCGCATATATTTATTCTTGTATTTTGTACGGTATACGGAATAGTAAATCGGACAGAAGAAAGAAAAAAATATTTCCCAAGTGGCTGTTGGCCGGAAAAAAACAATGAAATAGGAAACAGGAAAAAAAACAGCAGAAGCGAGAAAAAAAAGAAATTCAGACAAAAATTGGAAACAAAGAACCGAAAAAAACAAACAGACATGCACAATAAATACATGGACAGAAATTTTTTTTTTCAATCTTTTGCAAAATTCATAGAATATTCTACAGAATAATCGTGACTTATATATAGGAACAAAAAAAAAGAAAAAGAAAATAACAACAGAATAATTTCCTTCAAAAAAATAATGCAAAATGTATAAAGAATTTCAATAATTTAACCGAGAAAACTAATCCGATCTGAATACAATTCACATTTTAATAAACGAAAAAAAGAGAACATTTACATTGTCCTTGCATAGTTCATTTGAAATGGACATGACTAAACAAAGCGAATGACAACTAAACAATAAGAATATTAAAACGAACCAAATACCACCAAACGAAAAAAAATGATAATAAAAATAATAAATGCAAGTGGACATTGTTGAAAACAGACAAACAAACAGAACTAATCTCTATCATAATCATCAAATGTGATCAAAGCTTATCATCATCGTAATTATCATTATTATTATGATCATCTTCAACAAGCAAATAGAGAAAAAAAAAGAAAGAGAAAAGATCAAGTACTTAAATCTTTTTTGCTTTCCTTTTCATTCATTTCAATCATAACAAATTCTTGAACACATACTCAAAACATTCAAAAAAAATAAAAAAGAATAATTATTATAAATAAGAATCGTTTTCTAACGAATAACATCCATATGATGGTGATAGGCTTTATATTGTTTGTTTGTTTGTTTGTCATCCTTCAACATCGTTCACTTGAATATTTTTTTTGCGCTAACATTCGATTAGATGATTCTCTGTGTGCTTTATTCTTTCTTTCTTTCTTTTGTTCAAGAATCAAACACAAATTATATCAAGAAAAGAAAACTATTGAAGTATTGAATTAATCGTTAATGTAAAGCTTTCTGTGTGTCTTTCTTTTTTTTTCCTGGGTGATGGTAGATATTACATTTGTTTACATTGAGATCATAAGATGAATTTTTTGTGTCATATGGAACAAAAAAACGAAAGAATATTGGATATCAGTTTATTTTTCTCAAATAAAAAAAATGAAAAGTATTTACACAATGAGGCAAATGAAAATGGGGTTAAAAAACAATTGAGATAGATTTCAAACACTTACCAATTATTTTTAAAAATATCACCGAATTACGTGTACGTTCTTTACGAAAATCAACACGACATGCATATTCACCGGCATCATCCGGTGTTAATAATTCTAACATTAAATGTGCATATGGTGATGATGATGATGATGTTTGTCCAGTATTTGTACCAGTATTCATATAGGCTCTGGATGCAAGATTTTCATCTGTAACACGTCTTGCTGCTTCAAGGCTAACACCTTTACGTGCGTCCACACTATATATCAATCAATGAATGAATGAAAAATAAACAAATAGAGAATTAAGTGTTAATTAATTTGTTTAAAAAAAATACAATAATGAAAACAAAGCAGAAAAAACCAGAACATTCAGGTGATTCTGTTGGCAAAAAAAAATTCTCTGGAATAAAAAAAAACAATGAAAAAAAGTTTTTTTTGGGTCCATTTTTTTCAATTAATTTCATTCACAGTCACGATAGAAATTCATTAAATGTTGAAAAATTTTTTGTTTTTCCCTTTGGTTGTCTTTGTATGTTTAACTTTTTTTTTTTTTAATTCAAACAAATAACACCAAGGACACCAAGGACATTTTATCAATGACAAAGACTTTAGCTTGGTTGGTTGGTGTCAACATTCAATCGATATTACTACCATCATCATTTCGATATATAATTCTGCTGACATCGGAAATAAGAAAGAAAGAAAAAAAGTTTTCTTTGAACGCTGAAAAAATGATGATTGAAAAAAGAAAGGGTAATAATGAATGTAGGGTATCCAAAAGTTTTTTTTTCTATTCAAATGAAATTTTTTTGGGTGAAATATGGTAGCGAAAAAAGAAAAATTCCATTAAAATCATGACATTACATTGAATGTCCTAAAGGCATCTTTCTTTCTTTTTTCTATCCATACATTTCCAGACAGGAACAGAAATTATTATTATCATTAACATGAATGAAATCCAAGCAACACATTAATTGAAAGAAAGAAAAAGACGAAAAAAATGTAACAAAAAAAATTACACTATTAGATTTCATTTTTGGAAAAAAATGAAACCGATGACAAAATGTAGCAAAATGTGTGTTTGGTTTGTTCAATCAGACCTTTGATTATCAATACAGCCAAATTTCAATGGAAAAAAAGGCAATCAGCATCATTGCCAAATGGTATTATGCAACAACCAAAGATGTTGGTGTGAATCTTTTTTGAATTTTGAATTTAGAAACAAAACTAAAAAAAATTTCTTATTTCATTTACCAAAACTTTTTTTTCTTTGCTTTGTTTTTTGTTACATTACTTCAGTTTTTAACTTTGATTTCATTTTATTATCATTATTTAAAATTACTTTTGGCTTAAAAAAAACTTCATGTCCGTTTCGTTTTAACTCTTTGTTTGTCTCGTTGTAAAGTTTTTTATTTAATTTTAAAAATTTATTTTAGTTTCTATCAACTTAAATACAATACAAGTGTGTGTGTGGATGAGGATGTTCACTTTTACTTTTTCATTTTTTACTCACTTTGGAAAAAAAACTTTCTTTGGTAGAAACAAATGATATTTGCTTGAATAAATTCACACACACACACACCAATATTGTGAAGAAAACACAATGAAAAAGAGAAAATATTGAAAATACACTTTTGGCACGCAAAAAGAGTGAATGAAAAAAGTAAAAGACTAGAGAAAAAAGAAAATTAAAAGAAAAATAAAAAAACTTTGAACCAAGAAAAGGAAAAAACTTTAAGAAACCAATGAAGAAGAAAACGATGATGATGATGATAATCATTCAGCCAACCGACAGACAATGATTTCCAGAAAGTGTTCTCGTTGTTTTGTGTATGTGTCAAGAATTTAATTTTAATTTTCAAGAAATTCGTATTCCCATTATAAATTACATTCCAATATTGGAGAAAAACAAAGATGAAGATGAACAAAAAGTTTGCAAGAAAGAAGAAAATATTGTGTAGTCAAAGTGAGAGAGAATAAATGAAAAAGAATTTTTCATCTTTGCCATTCGGAAAAACAATAATATTAATAATCGAAAATGGAAGAAATGAAATGGAAAAGTCAAAAGTCGATTGATCATCATCATCATCATCGAAATTCAATATTAATTATAAGCAAATAAACGAAGAAAAAAAATTCTTCAAATGATATGATATGGAAGAATGAATTGGTCAGAAACCAGAAACAAAAACAAAAAAAGTTTTAATTAAAATCCATATTTCTTTTGCCCTGTTAACGATGATGATGTTTATCGAAATGAAAAGAGAATAATATTCTAATATTGACTATATTGACTATATCGACTATATTCACCAATTGGAATCGTATAATAATAACAAGGAATAATATTATCATTATCAGAATAATAATTTTATGGAATGATTCTGGCTAACATTCTGATTATCATTTTATCATCATTTTTTCCTGATTAAATATTGTAATAATTTTGTTTATGGTTCAAACCAGATAGATCAGGGAATAAACTAATAAAATAAAGAAAAATTGATTGATAAAATATTGTAATCATATAACGAAAACAACAACAACAACAACAGGAAAACAAACTTATTCTTATTAAATTTCAATCACCAATTCAGTCAAACAAGCAAAAATAAATCAAAGATCAAATATTATAATAATGAAAATGAAAGTTTTTTTTTTTGCTAAGAAACCAGCACAGTTTCCTTTTGGTCGAAATATGTTTTGGGAAAAAAAATACCCAACAGAATTATTATTATTATTTTACTTTTGGTTGAAGAATATATAATTTAATCTAATCGAAACTTATCAACAACAACAACAACAGCAGGAGATGCGATTGAAAGAATTTTTTTTTTTGATTCTGGATTCTGCACTGTTAAAAATGGTATGACTTTATAAGTTCATAAAGTGGAAGTGTGGACTTATAAGTTCACATTAGACCAAGTGAACATATAAACTCACTTTAAGGAATTGTGAGCTTATAACTTCACTTTAAGGAATTGTGAGCTTATAAACTCATACGAGAACGTTGTGAGTTTATAACTTCATACGAGAAAAAATGTGAGGTTTTTAAAATAAAAATAAAAACCCCTATACGCAAGCGTTTTTTTTTTTT